AAGCCCTCCAGACATATGGCCATCCAACCAACAGAGAAGGAGGTTGCTGAGAAGTTAGTGTGTATATTTTTTCAATGAACTTTTTGCTCGTTCTGGGATTCAATAAATAATCACTAGGGCCACTCCTGGGAGTTGTAGTTTGCCAAGGCCTTTAGCAGAGAAGCCAAGGAGCACTGGTGTCTCACTAACTACAGATCTTACTATTCCATGGCAGTTCAAATGGGGCCAAACGACACCCCTTCTCTAGGGCTCAGGAGTGCGAATCCTGCAGGCTGCTGGGAGTTGCAGTTCAGCAATGCCCGACGTTGCAGCGGTTGGGGGTGAAAGTGTGCCTTCTGGATTTGGCTGCATCAGCCTCTTCGAAGGAGGAGAGCAGAGTCCAAACGGTGTTCGCTGGACCTATTTTTTTTTTTGTAATGGACCCATCAGCAAATAATGACGATGTAGTTGCAACATGTTGACATTTCATTAACAAGGAGGCCTTTCCTCGAGGCTCTGAACCTTAGCCTTGAGATTTCGAGGCTGCGCACCTTGAGAAACCCTGATGCATCTACACTGTGGAATGAATGCAGTTTGACTTGAAAGCCTCATCTTCACATCTGAATTATTATTACTAGCTTGGATTGCCCAGATTATTTGAAAAAGTCATTTTTTTTAATTTTCCAAAATGCATAAGGTTGTGGGTGAACTACAACTCCCACTATGATGAGTCAGTCCCCTCAAACCCTTCCAGTAGATTGAGTTAGTCATGGGGGTTCTGTGTGCCAAGTTTGGTCCAGGTCCATCATCCAGTTTCCCTGTTTGTGGGTGAACTACAACTCCCACTATGGTGAGTCAGTCCCCTCAAACCCTTCCAGTAGATTGAGTGAGTCATGGGGGTTCTGTGTGCCAAGTTTGGTCCATCATCGGTGGAGGTCTTCCCGTATTGTGGGTGAATATAGCTCCCATTAGGCAGGGGTAGACGAGCCTCTATCGGGAGGCAGCTATCATCCTGTCCCTCTCACTTACATTTTGGCTGCTGTGCAGTTTTGGAAATTTTGGTTCTTAGACCCCGCATTGCTCTTCGATTTTTCCACGGGGGGGAGTGTACTTTTAGACTTACGGGGGAGCGGTGGAGGTCACAGTTTCCCTGTTTGTGGGTGAACTACAACTCCCACTATGGTGAGTCAGTCCCCTCAAACCCTTCCAGTAGATTGAGTGAGTCATGGGGGTTCTGTGTGCCAAATTTGGTCCAGGTCCATCATCGGTGGAGGTCACAGTTTCCCTGTTTGTGGGTGAACTACAACTCCCACTATGGTGAGTCAGTCCCCTCAAACCCTTCCAGTAGATTGAGTGAGTCATGGGGGTTCTGTGTGCCAAGTTTGGTCCAGGTCCATCATCGGTGGAGGTCACAGTTTCCCTGTTTGTGGGTGAACTACAACTCCCACTATGGTGAGTCAGTCCCCTCAAACCCTTCCAGTAGATTGAGTGAGTCATGGGGGTTCTGTGTGCCAAGTTTGGTCCAGGTCCATCATCGGTGGAGGTCACAGTTTCCCTGTTTGTGGGTGAACTACAACTCCCACTATGGTGAGTCAGTCCCCTCAAACCCTTCCAGTAGATTGAGTGAGTCATGGGGGTTCTGTGTGCCAAGTTTGGTCCAGGTCCATCATTGGTGGAGGTCACAGCTTCCCTGTTTGTGGGAGAACTACAACCCCCAGTTTTCCCCAAACCCCTTCAGTGATCAAATATTAGCATATCAGGTCTGTGTGCCAAGTTTGGTCCAGATCCATTGTTGTTTGGGTTCACAGTGCTCTCTGGATGTAGGTGAACTACAACTCCCCCAAATTAAGCTGAATTTTCCTCAAAGACCTCCGGTATTTTTTGCTGGTCATGGGAACTCTGTGTGCCAAGTTTGGTCCAATTCCATCTTTGGTGGTGTTCAGAGTGCTCATTGTTTTAAAAACAAGAGCCTTCGCGGAACTTCTCCCGTTCTCCAAGAACTCTCAAAGATGATTGCCAATGGTTCCGAAATGACTTCCGTAGTTCCTTCAATACTCTTGGGTGTAGTTGATCTGGCCCTGAACTCATTAGAGCGGCCAGGTATTTATGTATCACTTGTTTCCCAATTTGGGGTTGGATGTCCTCAAATCCCTCATCCACTCCATCTTACTGAGGTTGAAGATGACTTTCTTTTTGTGAGAAGACCGAGGCAAAGAAGGTATTTAGTAGTTCTGCCTTTTCCCTATCCCCTATCAGCATTGCTCCATCTTCTCCTCGAAGAGGCCCTATCGCCTCCTTGTTTTTCCTTTTTCTACTGACATAAGAAAAGAATCCCTTTTTATTGTTTTTAATGTCCCTGGCAAGTCTGAGCTCGTTTTGTGCTTTAGCCTTGCGGACCTTTTCCCTACAGGTGTTGGCTATTTGTTTGAATTCTTCTTTGGTGAATTCTCCCTTTTTCCACTTCTTGAGCATGTCTCTTTTGTGTTTTAGCACATTTAGAAGTTCTTTGGACATCCATTCTGGCTTCTTTGCACTTGTCCTATTTTTTTCTCTTTGTTGGCACAGTTTGCAATTTTGCCGAGTATTTCACTCTTGAGAAATTCCCATCCATCCGTAACTCCCTTGTCTTTTAGTATCTGTGTCCACGGAATGCTACTCAGTGTTTCCTTCATTTTTTGGAAATCAGCTCTCCTAAAGTTCAAAATGCAGGTTTGACTTGTCTTAGTTTCGGCCTTCCTCTGTACCTCAAATTGCAGGAGCACATGGTCACTTGCCCCTAAGGATCCGACCACTTCAACTGCATTGATCATGTCCTCCACATTTGTAAGGATGAGATCAAGAGTAGCCAACCCCCTTGTTGCCTCTTCTACCTTCTGGGCCATGAAATTGTCTGCAAGGCAAGCAAGGAATTTGTTGGACCTTGTACTCTTGACCGAGTTTGTTTTCCAGCAAATATTGGGATAGTTGAAATCGCCCATGACTACTACATCTCTTCTCTGTGCCTGTTTGGTCAACTGTTGGCAGAAGACTTCATCAAGTTCTTCCTCCTGGCTTGGGGGTCTGTAGTAGACACCTACAACGACATCTTTTTGAGTCCCAGTTCCCTTGATTCTTATCCAGATGATTTCAAGCTGGTTTCCCAGATTGCTGTCTTGAATCTCTTCTGCAGCATAAGAGTTTTTGACATATAAGGCTACTCCGCCTCCTCTCCCCTTTGTTCTAGTTTCCTGGCAAAGACTTCTAAAGACCTTTCCAAACTACATGTCTCATAGAATCATAGAATCAAAAGGCTGGAAGAGACCTCATGGGTCATCCAGTCCAACCCCATTCTGCCAAGAAGCAGGAATATTGCATTCAAATCACCCCTGACAGATGGCCATCCAGCCTCTGTTTAAAAGCTTCCAAAGAAGGAGCCTCCACCACACTCCGGGGCAGAGAGTTCCACTGCTGAACAGCTCTCACAGTCAGGAAGTTCTTCCTAATGTTCAGATGGAATCTCCTTTCTTGTAGTTTGAAGCCATTGTTCCGCGTCCTAGTCTCCAGGGAAGCAGAAAACAAGCTTGCTCCCTCCTCCCTGTGACTTCCTCTCACATAGTTATACATGGCTATCATATCTCCTCTCAGCCTTCTCTTCTTCAGGCTAAACATGCCCAGCTCCTTAAGCCGCTCCTCATAGGGCTTGTTCTCCAGACCCTTGATCATTTTAGTCGCCCTCCTCTGGACAAATTCCAGCTTGTCAATATCTCTCTTGAATTGTGGTGCCCAGAATTGGACACAATATTCCAGGTGTGGTCTAACCAAAGCAGAATAGAGGGGTAGCATGACTTCCCTAGATCTAGACACTATGCTCCTATTGATGCAGGCCAAAATCCCATTGGCTTTTTTTGCCGCCACATCACATTGTTGGCTCATGTTTAACTTGTTGTCCACGAGGACTCCAAGATCGTTTTCACACGTACTGCTCTCGAGCCAGGCGTCCATTCTGTATCTTTGCATTTCATTTTTTCTGCCAAAGTGGAGTATCTTGCATTTGTCCCTGTTGAACTTCATTTTGTTAGTTTTGCCAATCTCTCTAATCTGTCAAGATTGTTTTGAATTCTGCTCCTGTCCTCTGGAGTATTGGCTATCCCTCCCACTTTGGTATCGTCTGCAAACTTGATGATCCTGCCTTCTAGCCCTTCATCTAAGTCATTAATAAAGATGTTGAACAGGACCGGGCCCAGGACGGAACCCTGCGGCACTCCACTCGTCACTTCTTTCCAAGATGAAGAGGAAGCATTAGTGAGCACTCTCTGTGTTCGTCTCTTTTGTTCCTCCTCTCCTTCCTTCCCTCTTTCACTTTTTTATTTCCTTCTCTCCTTCCACTGCTGAACGGCTCTTACAGTCAGGAAGTTCTTCCTCATGTTCAGGGGGAATCTCCTTTCTTGTAGTTTGAAGCCATTGTTCCATTGCATCCTAGTCTCCAAGGAAGCAGAAAACAAGCTTGCTCCCTCCTCCCTGTGACTTCCTCTCACATATTTATACATGGCCCTTGTTATGTCCCCCTCAGCCTTCTCTTCTTCAGGCTAAACATGTCCAGGTCTTTAAGCCGCTCCTCATAGTGCTTGTTCTCTAGACCCTTGATCATTTGAGTCGCCCTCCTCTGGACACACTGGGCATGCGTACCATAATCAAGTGAAGTGAAGTGAACATACTTGTCGGCATCCCTCCCATTGGTTTCCCTTATTGAATGAGGCCTCATCCTCGTATTTGACCTCTCCATAAACTCTCTGTGCGCCCAAGTGAGATTTATGACTTTGCCCATCTATCCTTGCCAATACAGTCAGCTGTTTTCCTAAAATTTCCACATTTGCCGCATCCTTGCGAATGTACCGGTGCCGTGACCCCTTAAAAAAAACTCCCTGCATTTGGGGTAAAGGGAGAATAAGTGATTGACTGGTTTCCAGCGGAGCGGTCCAGAAATGCCCCTTCTCCCCTATTTTCCTTTGCCCTTCCTCCCCCCCAACTGTGTTTCCAAAACCTGTGGGTTAATCCCTCAAAACAAGAGTAAAACTTTAACCGACTGAGCCGCTTACCGCTTTGCATAAATAATCCACCCAAAGAGCCGGCAAAACTAGGAGACGTTTGGTCCGCGAGGAATGAACAAGGGGGCCAAGTGGGGTGCCGTCCCTTTGGGACAGAGACAAGCGAAGCGACGACTTGTTGGGTTTGTCTTCCTACACAGTTGCTGAAACGCAAGAGTCTCGAGGCTCGGGCAAGTGCGTGGCACAGTCCCAAATGGGCACCGAATTGGGCTTCCTGGGGTGACAATCTGAGCCCTTTCTGACCCTTAAACAATCCCGCTGTCCGGCTGAATTGGTAAATTTAAGACACTCCCTTTTGCAGAACCATCTGTTTATCCCCACAACTCGGCGGAGATTCGTGTCCAAAAAAGTGGCCGGCTTTTGAGTCTCGGCGTCCTTCTTTTCCACCTCTTTTAGGACCAGAGTTGAGTTCTTCTCCAGATTAGCCAGGAAGGGGAGCTCCCTTTTGGGCCCAGACCTGTCTTGACCGCGTGTGACCCCCATCCAAGGGCACCATGACTTTTGCCGAATTTCTTCAGCAAGTCGGAGGCATGGGTCGCTTCCAGGTGATCCACACGGCACTCCTGACCATCCCCATCGTCTTGATGGCCAGCCACAACCTGCTCCAGAACTTCACGGGTGCCATCCCGGAGCACCGGTGCCAGCTCCGTATTGCAACCAACGGCACTGGGTACCCAAATACCACCCGGTTGCTCAATCCCGGTGATCTGGTGCGGGCCGGCATTCCGCTCGACAGCAAGCAGCGGCCGGAGAGATGCCAGCGCTTTGTGGAGGCTCAGTGGCACCTCCTGGACCCCAACCTCACTGAGACCAACCGGACGGAATGGGACACCGAGCCCTGTGCCGACGGATGGGTCTACGACCAGAGCATGTACACCTCCACCATCATTACGGAGGTGAGATAGGATCGACGCAGGTGCATTTGTGGGAATTGTGGAACACTGATAGTATCTTCAGATCCTAAGATCTGTCAACTTGAAGCATGTTGAAGTGAAATATGTTGCCTCAGCTTCAACCTTCTCTGGAGTTTTTAAAGCAGAGGCTGGATGGTCATCTGTCGGGTGGGCTTTGATGGCGCCTTTCTGTATTGCAGGAGGTTGGATATCCTCTGCGGTCTCTTACAACTTTGGGATTTTAGCATCATCATTATCATCTTTGATAATGATTATAATACTGATAATGCAGTCTCTTTCTTTAAGCCAAGAGTGGATGCTCATCTGCTAGCAGGGCTTTGATGGTGTCTTTCTACAGGGCCGAGGGTTGGACTGGATGTCCTTTGGGGTCCATTTCAACTTTAGGATTCTATGCTCCGTCCCTGGGGTTTTTTAAGCAGCCTGGATGGCCATCTGTCAGGAGGGGTTTGATGGTGTCTTTCTGTATGGCTTTGGGTTGATGGTGTCTTTCTGCATGGCTGTGGGTTGGACTGTATGGCTTTTGGGATCTCTTCCAACTCTAAGATTCTACCACCATCATCAACATCATCATCACAATAACAACAACAACAACAACAACAACAACAACAACAACAACAACGATTATGATGTGGAGGAGGACATGGATGGAGTCTCCTTCTCCTTAGATAGTAATAATGTTAATGATGATGCAGTATCCTTCTCTGGTAGTTTTTTTAGTTAAGTGGATGATCATCTGCCAGGAGGGCTTTGATGGTGCCTTTCTGCATGGCAGAGGGTTGGACTGGATAGCCTTTGGGATCTCTTCCAACTCTAGGATTATACCACCATCATCACCATAAATAATAATAATAATAATAATAATAATAATAATAATAATAATATAACAATGATGATGATGTGGAGGAGGAGATGGACGGAGTCTAATTCTCCTTTGATAATAATAATGTTAATGATGATGCAATATCCTGGTAGATTTTTAGCTAAGTGGATGACCATCTGTCGGGAAGGCTTTGATGGTGCCTTTCGGCATGGCAGAGGTTGGACAGGATGGCCTTTGGGATCCCTTTCAACTCTAGGATTCTGGGCTTTGATGGTGTCTTTCTGCACAGCTGTGGGTTGGACTGGATGGCCTTTGGGATCTCTTCCAACTCAAAGATTCTACCATCATCAACATCATCATCATCAATATCAACATAATAATAATAATAATATATAATAGCATTGATAGGATGATGATGATGATGATGTGGAGGAGGGGATGCATGGAGTCTTCTTTGATGATGATGATGATGATGGTGATGGTGATAATGTTAATGATGATGCAGTAGTTTTTTACCTAAGTGGATGATCATCTGCCAGTAGGGCTTTGATGGTGTCTTTTTGCACGGCTGTGGGTTTGACTGGATGGCCTTTGGGATCTCTTCCAACTCTAGGATTCCGTCATCATCACCATCATCATCTTTGATAATAATAATGCTGGTAATTATGATGCAGTATCCTAATCTGGTAGTTTTTTTTAGCTAAGTGGATGATCATCTGCCAGGAGGGCTTTGATGGTGTCTTTCTGCACAGCAGAGGGTTGGACTGGATGGCCTTTGGGATCTCTTCAAACTCTTGAGATTCTAGCATCCTCATTATCATCTTTGATAATAATAATGATAATGGTGATGCAATCTCCTTCTCTGGAAGGTTTTTTAGCCAAGCGGATGATCATCTGCCAGGAGGGCTTTGATGGTGTCTTTCTACACAGCAGAGGGTTGGACTGGATGGCCATTGGGATCTCTTCCAACTCTTCCAAAGTGTCTGTCTGGGAACACCATTCTACCACCATCATCAACATCAACATCAACATCATCATCACCATAATAATAATAATAATAATAATAATAATAATAATAATAATAATAATAATAATACGATGATGATGATGTGGAGGAGGAGATGGATGGAGTATCCTTCTCTGGTAGTTTTTTAGCTAAGTGGACGATCATCTGCCAGGAGGGCTTTGATGGTGTCTTTCTGCACGGCTGTGGGTTGGACTGGATAGCCTTTGGGATCTCTTCCAACTCTAAGATTCTACCACCATCATCAACATCATCGTCACAATAATAATATTAATATTATTAATAATAATAATAATAATAATAATAATAATAATAAAACTATGATGATCATGTGGAGGAGGAGATGAATGGAGTCTCCTCCTCCTTTGATAATAATAATGTTAATGATGATGCAGTATCCTTCTCGGGTAGTTTTTTAGCTAAGTGGATGGCCATCTGCCAGGAGGGCTTTGATGCTGTCTTTCTGCATGGCAGAGGGTTGGACTGGATGGCCTTTGGGATCCCTTTCAACTCTAGGATTCTGGGCTTTGATGGTGTCTTTCTGCACAGCTGTGGGTTGGACTGGGTGGCCTTTGGGATCTCTTCCAACTCTAGGATTCTATCATCATCACCATCATCTTTGATAATAATAATGATAATGGTGATGCAATCTCCTTCTCTGGGAGTTTTTTAGCCAAGTGGATGGTCATCTGCCAGGAGGGCTTTGATGGTGCCTTTCTGCATGGCAGAGGGTTGGACTGGATGGTCTTTGGGATCTCTTCCAACTCTAAGATTCTACCACCATCATCAACATCATCATCACAATAATAATAATAATAATAATAATAATAATAATAATAACAACAACAACAACAACAACGATTATGATGTGGAGGAGGAGATGGATGGAGTCTCCTTCTCCTTTGATAACAATAATGTTAATGATGATGCAGTATCCTTCTCTGGTAGTTTTTTAAGCTAAGTGGATGACCATCTGCCAGGAGGGCTTTGATAGTGCCTTTCTGCATGGCAGAGGGTTGGACTGGATGGCCTTTGGGATCTCTTCCAAATCTTGAGATTCTAGCATCC